GGTGAGAACCGCAGTTTGTCTGCAGTGCGTCACACAGTGTCACCGCCGCGTCACACAGTGTCACCGCGGCGACAGTTAACGGCTGACAAACTGACCCACCGCCTGCAGCTGGCGCACATTCACCGCACTGACCTGACCTTGCCGAGTGCGGCGCCGGAGGCCGGAGCGGTAATTTCAGCGCCAATACGAGCGGCGATTTTTCAATTATGAATCACATAGTCTCTCTCACTTAGTCGCCATAAAAATACACTTGCAGTGATTAGCAAAGGTTGTAATTACTTAATTTGCTGAGCGGTGTAATGTATAGAGGCCGGCGTGGGCTATTAAGTCAGCCAGGAATCCCGTCCGTGCTGAAAGTGGCAATTACGGTGGCGCGGTGTGAAATGTGCCCGCCGACCGGGGCCACCAACGGCGGTCGGCGGCGGCGGCGGCGGCGGCCGGGAGCAGGTGGCGCCACCTACCCGGCCGGCGGCGGCGGAGAGTGGAGGAATCCGACACCGCCGGCAGCCGACCGGCTGCTGCTGCTGCTGCTGCTGCTGCTGCTCCCGCCGACTGCTGTTGCTGCTGCCGCCGACTGCTGCTGCTACTGCCGCTGCTGCTGCTGCTGCTGCTGCTGCTGCTGCTGCTGCTGCCGCCGACTGCTGCTGCTACTGCCGCTGCTGCTGCTGCTGCTGCCGCTGCTGCTGCTGCTGCCCCGCCGACTGCTGCTGCTGCTGTCTCCGTCTGAGCTGCATCCTGCCGGCTGCCGCTGTTGATGATGAGGCTTCCACTGTTCAACGTAACACCAACTGGTCCGACTGTCCAGATTCAAACGACGTCTGATAGCCCTAGAAAAAAAACTATCGAGCGAAACTTAACCCACGCCCCAGTGGCGGTCTCAGCCAACTTCGCCCTAGTGGGGGGGGGGGGGGCATATGTTACCACCCACCTCTAACTCAAAAACTAAGAGGGCTAGAAAGACGCAGTAAAAAGCAGTCGATAGCTCTCAATGCGTACGTTTGAAAGTATTTCGGTCATTTTTCATCTTAGAGCAATATTGGGGTCACCAGAGGTCATCAAAGGTCAAAATTTGCCAATGGTCATTATATTTTTCAGAAAACATGCCGTTATCTCAGGAACTATGGTAGCTAGAAAAACGCATGAGAAAGCAATCGATAGCTCTTGAACTCTTCTTTTAACCCGGCAGTTGCTGGGGTATTTCGCCACCCACCGTTTGCTGGGGGGGGGGGCGTTAAACGCCCCCAGCCGATAACTCGAGAACCAATAGGCGGAGCGAAACGCACGAGGCGGCAAACGAAAGAGCGCGACGAGACGCTTCAGATGAGTACTTTAAAGTTGAATTTTGAGGTCACAGGTCGGGTCAAGGTCAGGTCAAACACCTGAAATCGGGCTTTCAGTAGCATGGACTTCAGGACTTCGCAATGGGCGCCTCTCGCCATAAACTCTGTCAAAACGGTGCATAATCCATCTTATAAGGCTTACAAGAGTGTCAGCTCCATATAGGGGTCAGTCAAGCATAGGTCAGGGTCAAGGTCAGGTCAACCGGGTAGGCACATATCCCCGAAAATCTAAACTGATATTCGCAGCCTGTGACACATGTTTTATAGGTAATTTGGGGCGTAGAACACGATGGTGACATTCATTTTATCATATGTGTACGTGTTTGGCTCAAAAAGTTCAATTTAAGAAATTCATGTATCATGGTCGTGAAGTAGTCACGAAAAATTGCTAAGATTCAGTTCAAGATTTTGGAAAATGCGGAACGATAATCAATAATCGAAGATAGCCATTTGATTGATCATGGTATTGGCAGTCTAATGGCGTTTACGGCATGTCTGTATGTCTATTCTGTGATTTTATATGATTTTTTGAACATATGCCGTTTTTGGTCGAAAACTCAGATATCATGACGTCACTAAAACCTCAATATCTCAAAAATTTTCCGACCGATTTTTTTGAAACTTTGTCACAATGACCTTCAATCAATTCCCTACAGGTACCCAAAATTTGGCGCGCCTGCGGCGCGCCGTTTTTATGCTATGGCCCAGCGAAAAAAGTGGGGGCGTTTAACGCCCCCCCCCCCAGCAACTCGCGGGTTAATAAGGTCATTATCAATATTGACCTCAGGTCAGCGGTTTAGCCTCCAGAGGGCAAAAACTAAAAAATAGCTGTTTTTACGAAAAGTGTTTTTCGACAATAACTTTCGACTACAAAAGCCACGACATTTCTATTGTCAGAATCGTGTTCCCTTCGCCGAGACGCGTCGAATGAACTATCATTTGACCTTGAAAGGTCAACTTGAAAATTTGACTTCAGGTCAAGGTTATGACCTGGCCGGAAAATGTCACGTTGCATATCAGTCGATGCGTCTCAACAAAACAAACACAATGAGACCATCCCCAGCGTTCTATCTCTTTCCAATCGCGAGTTATTGGCAAAAATCTGTTTGTAGCCTCAAATGACCTCGGATGACCTTTCTAGAGGCTATCAGCAAAAATGACACCTTGTTCATCACGGGTGGTCCAAATCATTGTGATTCTGAAATATTTGGACTGTTCCTATGCGTACACACGGATTTAGAGGGATTTTCATTTTTCTCCATTGACTTGTAATGGAAAGGTCACGCCACTGACCTGACCTTAGGTCACGGATATAAGAAATCCGAGATCTACAAATTGTAGGTGCCCATAACATCATGCAATCCACCAAGTTTAAAACCTTTCTGACAAACACTGCAGGCTGTACATGATTGTAAACTTTTTTAGGCTTGGTCTGGTGACTTGACCTGGTGACCTGACCTGACATGACCTGGAGTCAAAAATTTCATACCTTGTCCAAAATTGATGTACCAAAAGCTACCCCAAGCGGCGCGGCGCTAGACGCCGCGGTTTTTTATTCACACGCAAAAAACGCGACAGGGTGGTAACATATGCCCCCCCCCCACCGGGGCAAAGGTTAATTTTTTGACCTCGAGGTCGAGTCGTCATATGACGATGACGTCGCAGGTCAGGTCAAAAAAACAATTAACGTTTGGGTATGTTCACGCTTTAGGCTCTGGTTACAGCTTTACATGTCACATCGAGCTCATTTTTTGTTTACACACTCGTAAGTGTATGCTGAAGATGTCCTGAGGGTACCAAGCTTTTACTTATAACTTAGCAAGGCTAGTTCAGGTCACCCGCAGCCATTTCCGGCTGAGTATAGCGGAAGTTAGGTCACCATCAGGTCAAAAGAGACCATATTCGGAAGTTGAAAAGTCCAGTTTGAATTATTGATAACAATGAATCGCAACCTGCGCGGCGGGGCCCTTGACGTCAGAGCATTGCGTACTGCCTACTTTGCGCATGTCCGATCACTCCTGGAGTATTGTAGTGTCGTCTGGGCCGGCGCTGCAGTGACCCACATGAAACGACTAGACCGTGTGCAACACAAGTTCCTCATTTGGCTCGCATCTCGTTCGGACCATCCCACAAACTGCCTGGATTATGAACATCTACTGTCTCACTTTCAGGTTCCATCCATCAAATCGAGATTTCATCAACACGACCTCATGTTTTTATTCAAGATTTTCCATGGTCAGATTGACTGCCCGCAACTAGTCACAAGGTTCTCACTCTCAGCACCTAGTAGAAGGGTGCGCAACATCAGGCTGTGGAAAATCCCACCAGCACGAGTCAATACTGTCAAAAACTCTATGTTCGGGCGAATTCCAAACAGCTGTAACGCCCTCGTAGCCGCGAACAGTACAGTTGACTTTTTCACGGCAACACTTGGAGCCTTCAGAACTGCTGCATATTCATTCGGTCAGGCCGCCGGTGTGTACTAGCATGTTTCCTTTTAGTGTATACTCTTAGCTTGTTTTCTGTTTAGTGTTGCTTATAGTAGATACCTACCTATGTTATGCCGTGCTTTTAACTACAGTGTTGTGAATCGTTTGTGTTTTCACCTCATCTTGTTTATGATTTAATGTACTGTTTTGACTGCACCTGTTAAAAGGGCGTTTGCCTGTGGGTGCTTGTAGTAAATACAATACAATACAATACAATAAAAGTAACATGTAAAAGCAGATAACTTGGCCATTTTTTTAAGACATTCGGCTAACATTTTCTGGAGCAAGTCATCGGCATGTGTTTTATCACTCACGTCCCTTTTTTAAGTAAAAAAAAAAAACTGGAAAGTAACATTTTCAAAAAATTAAATTTTGAGATATCATATGTTGAATAATGACTATCCCAAATTATTAAATTATGAAAATCAGAAATAGCGGTTTGATAGCCCTGTGTAGGGCTACACTGCCCTATATAGAGTTCTCTAATGCAAATAAATTGGCTCTAACTTAAATAGGTACTATGCTCTTGAGAGCGATTGCCGTAGGTGAAGATTTTACATCCAAATTCCAAATCGACCGAGCATGACGCCACTATGACGTCATTTCAGGCAAACCTATGGTAGCTAAAAAAATTATTCTGAAACACAAGGTGTCAGATAGATGCCATCTAAGGTAATGCAAGTTTCGTGTTGATACGTCCAGCAGTTTGGAAGACATTGAAGAAAACTCGGAGGGGCTCTGAAGAGACCCGCCCAGTCATGCGCGAGATAGCCCTTTGGACAGCAAAACAATTTGGTGTTGCTGCAGTGAACGATTATAAATAGACAACAATGAATAAATTGTCGCAATATTTATCCAGTAAATATAGTTCAAGCGGTTGAAAAACGTTTAAAATTCTAATCAATTCCAGAAAAAGGTTATTTCGATTATCTTATCACGTGAATTATTGTTTAACAATTATTGTTTGTTATTTACAAGTGTTGATAGATTTAATTATTTGTTTGTCATTATAGTTGATTATCATCGAGTATCTACAAATTAACTTGGAATATCTACAACTGTCAGTGGGACACTCCAATTTGTACCGAGCGAAGCTTTTGTTTCTGATGACGGACTTGACTTTGTTGTTCGAGGCGACACTCACGTGTAGTAAAGCAAACAAATGCGAATGTTCCGAATGTTCACATTTATTTAATCTGAAAATCATAAACAGGTGACAAGTGCATCGGATTACCAAGCATTACCTGAAGGAAGAACTTTAATTGCTGTCAGCTAGCTTTTACCTATAGGCACATAACACTCGTAAAATCAGAATCTCAGGCAGAGAGTTAGTAAACTGCTCTGCAGCCTGCCTATGATCAATTCTTCGCCGCCATAGTAGGTCCTACAAAATGAGGGGGTTCGATGCTTCTCGTTTATAATAAGTGAAAGCGAAGAGCTGGCGTAGAGATAAGCCTACGAGCGAAACAATCGTCACCAGACACGACCTACATCACAGGCAGAGATCACATCGCTTTGGCAACTCTCACACTGTCAGAAAAAGAGCAGACGCTACACCCAAGCACTGCCGCACTAGTGCCTAATGTTAGTCCCAAATGGTCTCGCGAAAGCTCTGTACACTACGTTTTAACTGCTGTGTGCACAATAATGGCGCGCATGGTGTGAATTAAAACTCGCTGCACAACTGTATGACGATATCTGGACGAATGCCTTCACCATTCCAGTCTTTGCGTAGAGAACAAAGTGAACTGTGTCGTCGAATGTTCAAAGCCTTCGCCAAATTTATTTGATCATCGGGAAGACTTCGTTTCGGCCTTCCAAATAAGTTATAAGTACAAGGTGCATAACTAGCCGATACAATACGGTAAAGGAACAAGCACTACATGTCACCGGGAGAGATGAACTATCGCACAAAAATACGCTCACAGCACAGCCCTCCCACCTTAGCTACACAGGATTTCAGCTGCCCTCAACAGTTCACAGCACGCCAGTAGCATCGGAGTGATCGGTACCGACCACCGCCAATCCCAAACGGTCAGACCAATAAGCGATCCGTCTATATCAATTACAAAGGCTGTACAGTCAGTTTAACACATGAATCTCATTCAAAATCAAAAACAAAAATCCTATTCATGGATATACCTTCGGTAGTGACTATGTGCAAGGTAAAAAAAAAACTTTTTCTTTTGCTGTAATAAATAGCAGCTTTAGAAATAAGCTGAACATCAGGAAAGCAGTTTATCGCAAAGTGATAGTAATAAGAGCATGATGACCTACGCTAACTCATATTCAGCGCTATTCAAAGTCAGCTCGTGGATCTTGGATCCTGGATCTAATTCACCGCTCAATTCTTGCTCTACATGCTTCACAACTGTTGCCGAGCCACGCATCGACTTAAGGCTACAATAGTCCGACCCCAATCGGCGCGCGGGCACCATACCGACCTGGGCGACAGCGATAACACCCGTCTATATTTACACGTCTTCACGCGCCCAAGGCAGAGCGCCCTTGGCGCTAGTCATTTACACGCTGAGCCAGCCAATCACCGCCTCACCGGCGCCCGTGTCTATTTGCACGTAGAGACCTGTGTTGCTCTTACACACGCAGACCTCTGTGAGGTCTATTTGCACGTGTAGACCTCTGCGAAGTGTGTGAACACGTGCAGGCCTCTGTAATGTCTATTTATGTGTGTATATCTCAGTGTCTGGCGTCTATTTACAGGTGTAGACCTCTGTAACGTTGGTGCAGCTCTGACAGTCCACTCGGACGGAGCGCTGCTCCCAGAGCACGCGGCAGTTGCAGGAGGTGACCAGCGAGCTCAGCTGGGTGTTGTAGCCCCTGCCGCAGCAGAGGACGGCGCAGTGGCCGCCCAGCTGACACCGGCGGCCCACCGTGCCCGGGCCGTACGCGTCCCGCTCGCAGAAGCTGGGCGACTTGTCCGTGTAGACCAGCTTCCTGCTGGGCCCCACTGAGGGCGGCCGCCGGCGCCGGCGGTCGCGGTCCCGCCCCCGCCCCCGCCCCCGCCCCCGCCGCCGGCCCCGCCCCCGTCGGCGCCGGCGACTGATGATGGTGTTGGTGCGCACGCTGACGTCCCCGACGGGCCGTCGCGCGTCGGCGGCCAGCTGCGGCGCGCTGAGCACCGCCGTCAGGTATTTCTCCTTGATGACCGCGCCGGTGCGCTCGAAGGGCCCCACCTGTTTCCAGCAGGTCTGCAGCTGGCAGGTGCCGGACACGCCGTGACACTTACAGCGAGGGGTGATCTCCCCCAGCAGGGCCTGGAGAGGGTGGAGGTCAGAACAGGTCATCGGGATTCGTCAGAAGACGATCTTTTGATTGGCATTTAGCCGCCACTGGTCATTTCTTTCTTTAATTCTGACAAAAGCTCACTAAAATCAAACAAAACTAAAACACATCCTGTTATCGTTGCCAGACTGATGAGGCACGGACCTCACTTGCTTCAAAGCCTTTAGAATATAAATCAGTTAATTAATTAAACATTCGGCCAGTCTCTCTCTCTCTCTCTCTCTCTCTCTCTCTCTCTCTCTCTCTCTCCCTCTCCCTCTCCCTCTCCCTCTCCCTCTCCCTCTCCCTCTCCCTCTCCCTCTCCCTCTCCCTCTCCCTCTCCCTCTCCCTCTCCCTTTCCCTCACCCTCTCTCTCCCTCTCCCTCTCCCTATCCCTATCCCTCTCCCTCTCCCTCTCTATCTCCCTCTCTCCCTCTCTCTCCCTCTCTCTCTCTCTCTCTCTCTCTCTCTCTCTCTCTCTCTCTCTCTCTCTCTCCCCTCCCTCTTCTCACCTTGATCCCGACCTTCCAGTTGTGTTTGTGGACGAGCAGCGCCGGTCGTCGCTCTTCGCTCCTGCCCCTTTTCCTCAGCAGCCGGCGGGTGAACTGGCCGGCGAAGCGGACGTTGTGGCTGCAGCCGCCCCAGCGCCATCTCTCGGCGGCCGGAGACGAGCCCCGAGGGTATGCCAGGTCACAGGAGCATGCCGTCAGGTGACCGGCCGCGCAGGCGCGAGCTGTCGTGTGCGCGATGGCCGCTGCAGTGATGGCGTACAGGAACGCCGTCTCCTTGAAGGCTGCAGGGCGGATATAGGCAGCTTTGATATGATTTTGCGGTGAGTTGAAAATGCACTGAGTTGATCGAGAGGGTTGAAATTAATGGGGTGTCACTGTGTGGCCCAGACCTGCTGAACAGTTCTATTTTGCAATATTATTCTTAGCGGCATTAATTATGTTCATCCAGTGCAAAGCTACCCGCAAGACACAGTCCAAAACGATACAGTCAGCAGTGGGATTCGAACCCACGCCCGGAGAACCGGACTGCGACCTGAACGCAGCGCCTTGGACCGCTCGGCCATCCTGACGCACTGGTCGCATCTTGGGGCCATTTTTCCATCTGTTCTTTGCCTTCTTATTCAAGCTACGAGTTATCCATATTCTCAAGACGTCAGTGATAGTGATAATGACAAATACAGGTATAATAAATGTAAATTACAAGTAAATATTTATAATTTGAAGTGTCAGGGATGACGTCACAGTAAACAGACAAAAATCAACAATAAACTGGCTCGCATTTGCTTATCTCAATCTTCTGTTCCTGTTTCACACTCCCATTCTTCATACATTAGGTACAGGCTCTGCCGCTGTTTCCACACCTATACTTTGTTAGTCCTGAACGCATAGCAAATTCACTCCACCATCCTTCCGAGCCGCAATGCACAGAACAAAAATACCTCCCCGTCTTTAGACAGTGTTCCCCGTTTTACCTTTGTGAAGGATGCGTATGCGGCTGGCACCCAGGGAGCAGTTCCACCGCTGGTCAGCCAGCTGTTCGGTACAGGAGAGGACGCTCAGCTGGACGGCCTGCAGCAGCACCTCCTTCATTCCCGGCTGGAGGGGCAGGCGGGGATGGGGGGGGGGGTTACCCTTGGGGGAGCGAAGCAGTGATCGTGGAGACGGCCTGATATGGGAAAATGGTTTTCTTTTTATCCGGATGCAGTTATTTATCAATGGATAACTATGTTAATCACGGAAAAATAAACGACGGTGATCACCAATTGTTTGCCGCTTAAATTTATAAAGTTGTCTGTTCAAGACAAAGAAAATCATATGACATAGGATAAACACAAATGTATAGTCAAGGACGAAAGCAAAACATGCTCCACGACTCTGTTTCGATGAATCACTCAATTGTACTGTTAATGATAGTAAAAATATCCTATTTGCTCACCATTCTTTCGCACATTTTCTTTTGCTTTTTGGATGAAAATATCTTATCTGGATCGTGTAACGCCAGAGGTCTTGGTGAGCTCAACCTGAAAAGAAAAATGTCGAAGTTAGATATTGAAGGAGGCCAGTTAAAGTCCTTAGCTTTATTGTGCATGGACGTGCATGTGCATGTGCATGTGCATGTGCATGAACAGTAGGGTAGTAGTTGAATCCATCATGTTTTTTATTGCAGCCGTGACGCATTATAATCAAGTGGTTAATTTGGTTAAATCTCCCTGTCCATACCCCATAGCAATCGGGGTCGAGAGTTTGTATATTTGTCGCTGTCATTGACTTAGCACCATGCAAATCAAACACTTGCCGAGAAGTTCCCATTCTAGCAAAAAGTATCGTCGCATTTCGACACGGCGCAGTCTCGACTGTTGCCGTCAATCGTTTGACTAATGAAGCGTCAACGTTAGATGCGGGCGCGATCGCAGTTCTTGTTGGTCCCACGCTTCATCACGTATGTGACAATCACAACTTTTTGCCGCGGGCTGTGGTATGAGGCGGATGTTTGCTTCCATTAGCTCTTCGATTGAATGGCCAAATGCATTGTGATTGATCCTGGACGGAGATGAGAGAGGAACGTTGAAGTGTTTCTGAAAATGGTTAATCTGGAAAAAAGCGTCAAGCGCTTCGAAATCTCACACGCTACACGATCTGCGCTCTCTCACAGGCTTTTCATAAAACATTTAAAGTCCTGTGTAAAACGTGTAGGTAATAGATATTTGTCTACAACGCCCTTTTAGGCAAAGGCTTGATGTCGTTGGAACGTTGCAATTACAAAGAGCTTGCAGATGAAGGTGACCAATGGAAATGGCAAGTAGAGCATATGTGAAAGAAACACACTAGAAGTTCAAATGCAAGCATAGAAACATCAGAAATGCCACAAACATGGATGCAGATCAAGTATACATTTTAGCAGGCGTTTGAGTGCTAGAAAAAAAACATTTCTCTCCTTGCAATAAACTTAGCAGAGAGAACATCTTGCAGGACCAAGACCACAGCTGGCCTTGCGAGCTCCGAGGGTTCCCAATCTCTCAGCAATAAGAGCAACAATCGCGCAGCTGAGACAGCTATGCAGCCATCAGGAATGATATGCCACTCACATAGGGGCATCATTAGCCGGCACAATAGCCGGGCCAATTGTTACTGATCCTGCCTGGCTGTGGGCTTTCTGATGCAATGATACGGCCGTGCCGTTCTCTGGCACTCAGGCGCCGTCACATTACTGCGATGAAACGGCTAATTATTCACACACCGCGCCCGGGAAGAGCAACGTATTAAAGACCGTGAGCTTGATAATGGAATGGTCGTGGCAGACGAACATTCGAGACCATTAGTAACGGAATGCAACTGAGTCACCCCTGACACATTCTAAAAGTGGCCCAAATGCCGGCATGTTTCTGTGCTTTTGTGTGAGCGGCTGGCCTGCAATTTACTGCGACGCCCCTGGACGTGTGTGAGGTGTGTCGGTTTCCCGCTCCGCCGCTGCAGAGGTGACTGCCAGTCTGTGATACGGGATTTCAGCGCGGGTACCTGATCATTTGGCCCGGATACAATGCTCCATGACCCTGCCTCCGTTTTCCGGGGCCGCCCATCCATGCCGACACGCGCAGGGGTGGGGCCAGGGGGGAAGGGGTACCACCCGCAGAGCACGTCACGGATGTGACGCCGTCACGCGGCGGTTACCGAGCCGTCAGGGGCATTTTGCCGCTCACCACATTTGTGGCCAGCGGAATACGTGGTAGCTGCTGCAAAATCGCCAAGCCGTGACTAAATGTGTCAGCCTCACACCACCATATGATGGGTGGTTTCAAACAAGTTTAAGTGGATGCCAGTTCAAGCCTAAACTGAATCACCTGAAACTGGAAAAAACAAGCATATCAAGCGCACAGAATGCAGTTGAAAGTAACGTCTCTCACTAAAACAGGGCACAGACAACAGGTCGCATAAGAAATTCTAGCAGAAGAACTCGTTTCGGTGATTTTTTTTTTCCAAGATCATGCATGCAATATACCAAGAAACCGAACCGCTTAATCAAAAGAATCGTCATTTTCAAGCTAGACAATTACTCCTCCTTTAGACCAAGCAGCCAGCTAAAAAAGAAAATGTTCATAATTAGTTGATTGCATGCAGTCGGGGCTGAATTCGTTGTGAAATATCAGGTGCAAAGAAAGCGCTCCGAACTTTAAACGCACAGTCTCCAAAATATTTGTCCAAGTCACATGAAATCTTAGCGATATGGAACTACGACATATTTTGTTGCTTCGGTAAGATTTGGCGAAAATACCTTGCTTGTGGCGTAGCTTATTTAAATTTAACCCTTGCACTTATGAGGTTGGCCTTTCTCGAGTAGGTAACTCGGGCAAAAGTGAACAGATCGCAGCGAAACTTTCAGTACCTTCGTGTTTAAGCTTTACACGATCCCTCAAACTCTAGCGACCGTAACCCGAATGATCTTTCACTTGAGATATTTTTCTCGAAAGCATGGCAGGCCAGGATAACGATTCGAAGGACGAATCGTATGTCAGTGCACAGCATCTGTGCGTTTCTAGGCTTTCTGTGATTTTAGACGTTCCAACATATGAAGTAGAAACGTGCTACATGCAAAGCAGGTCAAGGTCATTAACCCTATTAGTGGCAGGGGGGGGGGGGGCGTTTTCATCCACCCCTCAGGTTTTTGGAAATATCTCCGAAACCGCTGAAGCTACGATGCTGAAATTTTCTGACTTTTCCTAAAACTAAATTGGGCACATTCCCTGAAAATTTCAAGTTAATAACTTTACCAGGGGCGGCTCCAGAGCACTGGGAATTGGGGGTCCCATTCGTGAAGCGAGTCATTTGGGCGAAGATCACGATGCTGATGTATTATAACTGTATGCACCAGTTTTACGAACAGTGAATGAAAGGTATCATGTGATAACATATACAAAGTTATTTTGCATCCTCTTTTGACACGTTTTTGCTATAATAGGCGGATCCAGGCGTCCAAAAAGGGGGGTTATGTTCTACCTCCCAACATAGGTGCCCTGACACCGCCTATGCATGACCAATACAATTGTAGTCGTTCTCTCATAAGAAAATTGTAAAATAACAAGACCATTGCCACCCTTTTTAGAAACAGTACCAACAAAAACCTTATTTACTAAACTTTTTGTGTACCCCCAATCTCAATGATCTGTATCCGCCTATGATTTTTGAAAATGCATATTTTTAGGATCCACGTGAATTCCTGGTTCATTCTCTTATCGATCGGCAAAAGTTGCGTTAAGATTGGTTCAGAAACCTGGCCGTGATAATCAGTCTAAAATGTATCTGCAATTTGCCCGTTTTTACCCCCCTCTATGTACCCCTCTATTGACATTTTTTAATTTTTATTCTTTAGAAATGTAGATCACGTTGAGCGAAATTGAATGCCGTTTGAATTTTGAAAATTGGCCGGTTACCTAGATCTCGAGATATCAGGGGGGGTCGTAAACAGCCCCCCCCCCCCGCCACTAATAGGGGTAGCCAGGAGCCTGCCACTAATAGGGTTAACCTTAGATGACCTTGGTTAATTTTTCATTGCTATTTTACAACGTTTATGGTGCTTTTGGAGCTGATATTCGAATTTAGCACCCATTTCAATATTTGAAATAAGTTTTGGTGCTCATGCGATGTGGTGCAATGCTTTCAGTGATGGTTAGCAGTAACACCTTCTATGGATAGCTGGTCGGGCGCCTACTGGTTGACCTGACCTGACTTAATCCGATCTGACCCCAATGCATGAGCACATCTTAACTGCTCAAGACAAATCATAAATGCAAAGTTCGAAATCGGGGCCCGAAAACCCCGATAACACCTCACTTAAAGACGTTCTAGTAGGTCCAGTTTCCCCAGCTTTTGGGTCATTGACTTGACCTGGAAGATTAAACAATGACCTGGGACCTTAAAAATGTGTATCACTGGGTTTCTCTCGTTACGAGAAACACACACGTTTTTCCGCAAAGTTCTAACTCAATGCGGGGTCAAACGGCTTGGGGGTCCTACAGGCCCCCCTCTATGCGTTTGACGCTGTAAAACAACATAGAAGTGTGCTATACGAGTATTACGTGAATTTAACATTCACAAAACAGTAAGTTGCCAATATTTGCTAATGAACTCAGGTCTAGAGCGTTCAAAGATTGCATTTCTCGGAGGCACCATTGTTGTGTCATTAGAGGAAAGGTGTGACAAAGTGTTTGCTTGGTAAACGAGCGTAAAAAATGAAGCTGACAAGTAATCAAACAGTCAGTATTCAGAAACACTACCATGTGGGCTGGAGTAATCTGAATCCAAACTCCAAAATCTCATTGACCATGAAATTGTGAAATAACATATAAGTATAAGCAAATTACGCCTAAAAAAGCATTGCACCTGGTGCATTCTAAAGCACTAATAAACCAAGAAGCTTCTGAAAGCAAATGCGAAACAACGTTAGGTTAACATACGAGAACATTGCAAAGTGATGCCAAAGTTTAGCGCTCATGTAGCGCGCTAGAGCTCTTTGGTCGGCATTTTCGGCACCGGGTGCAGGATTGGTTAGGCTTCGCTGTTCAGGCACGATGTAAGTAGTTGCATTTTTGGTCTGTCAATCGATGCATTTTGTTGCATCAGGGGTGCTTTAGAAGTTGTGACAAGTAACAATTTCATTAAATAGGGAATAAAAAGACGAAACTAACCTTGTTCGGGAGACAGAAACATTTACTGTTGTCGAGAGTGAGCCTACAGCGTCTTGACTCTAAAATAATTGGAGTTGGCTATGTCTAATTATCATGACAAAAACAAGAAATATAACTTAGTCTCATTTTCCCTGGAAACGAGAGGCTTGTTTGTGTTACTTTTACCTGATTGCGCTTTGGCTGCTTATTATTATGTCGATCGGATTCTGGAAACGCTACGTAAAACCTGTACTTGCAATTATTATATTTGTATGCATATTTTGTGGCCTCTGGCGCACAAAGCGAGTAGCTTTATTGCCGAAAGATCGGACTTACATCTATCCCTATAACTCATTTGTTTTTTATGAAATACGCTTATTTCGCAACACAAAGCTCACTGAAAAACACGGAAATAATTATCTCCACAAATAAAAAGTTTTGACGTAACTCGCAGCCTCAAAGTCATACCTTTGTTGGCAGCCAGCTGACACTCTCACACTGAACAGCGTCTCACATCTCGTTTCTCACGTTGTCACTCACCCGATGCCGCTGCCGAGTGCCGGTGTCGACCCGAACAGGAGGGCGAGGCCGGTGAGCAGGACTCTGCCGCCGGCCATCGCTGACGGCCCATCGGCCCCCGTCGGCACTCCTCCGTGAGTCCCGAACGCCGTGAGTCCGAGCTCCGTGAGTCCCGAACGCTGTGAGTCGTACACCGTGAGTCCCGAACGCCGTGAGTTTGAACTCCGTGAGTCTCGAACTCCGTGAGTCCCGAACTCACAGCGTCACCAGCTTCCGTGAGTCCCAAACTCTGTGAACCTCTATCTCCGTGAGCCCCAAACTCCGTGAGTCTCGAACTCCGTGAGTCCCAAGTTTTATCAGGACTCGAAGATGCCTTCTCTCCCACCCCTCGCCTCCCGCTGAGAATGGTCGCTCTTCTTGCTTTGTCCAGATGTGTGTGGGAAGACGCTACTTGAAGACGCTCACAGCCTTCCAAAGTCAATAGTTTTTAACAGGCGATGACGATAAGATCATCCCTTGATACACCTGTCAGTCCCCGGTGCCTTTTCACCACTATCCTCCCGTGATCTTTACACTAGATCCAGTAGGTAAGTCACTGATCTTTGCGAACGCCACGCATTTGATGATTAGCTCACCCCAACGTCACAAAAAGCTCCTGTCCTCGTAGCTCTCACTTCGAACATTCACGACTCGCCACTGTCAGCTCAACGGCTCTGAAACTCCGACTCCGACTCTCAGGTCACACCGAATCACCACTGGCGTTGCTCGTCCGCAACTGTCGGCCGTCACCCACGCACCCTTCCAGCGTGGCCTGCGTCGCGGGCGGCACCTCTCGCTGACCTGACCACTGGCGTGTTCGGGTGACCGGAGGCGGCGGGACCCGCTCCACTGGCGGCGGCGGCGGCGGTTCGGGCGGCGGCGGCGGCGGCAGCGGCGGCGACGGCCCCTCCCGCCAATCAGGAGCGCTGAGGCGGCAGCGGGTCGCCGGGTCACGTCTCCTTCCCCTCCCCTCCCTCCCTGGGTCGAGCTCGGCCCGAGCTCCACGTCGGGCGGTGTCGCGATTGCCCGATTGGCGCGCCGGTACCGGCGTGTTAGCTTTCCACACGTCGGGGCTACTTCCGGTCGGTTTCCGAGCCTGCTGAGAGCTGGCATTGTTCTCTCGGGGTGTGACAGAAGCTCAGAGCCCAGTGGTCATCAGTTACATCGCTGACACCAGGCAACCGACACCGATTATGATAACAGGATATCTGAAGCACGCGTTAATGACCACGAATATCACTGCTGCTGCCTCTCAGATGGCTAAACAGCGTAGTGCAATGATTGCAGATGTGTAGCTACTCATGTCGCGTATGTCGTGATGGGGTCTCGATCGGCTGATGACAGAACAACATCAGTAAAGCCTTCTGACATTGATGGCCCCTAATGTTAATAAATGACATCGTTAGCGATGCAGCAGTGAAAGCCCACGGATCAAATAGCTGAGCATCGCAGCATCTCTTAGCATTCATGCGAAGTTCCTAGCCATTACAGCGCGATGTGGTTTGGTAGTCGTTTGTTATGGAACATAAGGCAGTATTGCTTATAGGCATCATTATTTTCAGATAACCTATGTCCGTTCAATTTTGTTTCAGTTTCGTTCAACCTATGTTCGTTTCTAGTTCATTTGCTGTTGGATGTCTTTCATTGATCGCAAATGGCACTAAATGTATGTTAATATATGTTGATTGTTTGATTTTTCCTGCAAGTTCCCGTTGTGCAAAAAAAGTTCGGGTTGACGCATACTTAGAATAGAAGTGGTTGTCAGTTTTTATTTTAGCAGTAGGTCCTCCATAGTTTCCAGCTTCTGAGCTTTTTTTTTGTCACAACTCACATACACACTGGCTCCACTATGCTGTTGAATATTTACCCTATCTCGCAATCCCTGGCCGCTCTTCCACTGCATAGCGCACACAGCTGGCATGACAGAGTGACCTGTGGTCAATTTCACCCTATCTGTGGCGAAATCGACATCGACTGCGGTCTGTCTCACTCAGCCAGCCCTCAATGACTGTGCTCTCTGGGGCATTCCGGGTCCATCAGAGTGTGAGAAAAAAAAGAGGGGAGAATCACTCCCAGCCACAGCGACTACCGGGCCGTGAGAGACTCCCATACCTATAAATGTCTCATATCAGGTATGTAGTGGTAGTCCTATCGCCGTAGTAGTAAATAGTTCGCTGGATGAATGATAGACAACGGTAAACAGCCATTTGCATGGTGATGAGAGTAGGCAATTATCAGTCAGGCCACTATCGGGATGTGCTGGATATTGGAAAACATGTTCCTGTGCTTGACCTCTGAGCAGTTTGTACTATGTACTCGTATGTCGGATAATCTGAACTCTAATGTCCGTTTCGTTTCTTATGAACGATTGGTGGATGTTTTACTTTCTGTTGGTCCTTCTCCAGTATACATGACCTGTACCTGACCTCTGGTCAGTGCATTTGATGACCTGCATCTCTGGAAGGAAAAAAGCAACACATATCATGACCTCTGGAAGGAATATTGAATGACATGCTCATCATGACCTGTGACCAGAACTTTGGATGGCCTGCCTTCTATCATGACCTATAGCCTGTGTGGCATCGGCTGACCAGCCCTCTATCGTGACCCCTGACATGACGCTGACCTGCTCACTGACCTGTCCTCTACCATGACCTCTGACCGGAATGCCGGATGACCTGCCCTCTGCCTGTGCCTGGGAGCGGGAATGCCGCAGGAACGCACCACCAGCCGTTCCGGCATGCGCTACCTCCGTGGGACGGTTTCTGATGTATTCGGTGGACAGATGCCGGTAAGGATTATACTGCAGCGCGCAATGCTGCAGCGCTTCGGCAGCCGGTCATTTATATTCATCAGGCCTGCGAAGTGTGTTGACACAGAGGGAATTTTATCGGTTTGGGCTATTAAGCCATAGCTGTTGTGGTTTTAGTTGACGTGCATAATACAACAATAAAGTCATGCTAAAAAGGATAATTGACTTCAAAGCGATGCTGTAGAGATACTCTGTAGAGCAGATCATGTTTCTTTATAAGAAAAGCTTTTACCACCAACATAATGCATGAGTTATAATGTCATCACAGACCTAACCCAGTAATGACATCCCTATTTAGTTTTCCATTTTAATGTTTGTTTGTATTCTTTTTTCACAATGCTGGCTTTCGATGACAAGAACTACACCATCCCTTCAACCGATTAAAAGTGACAAGGTCGGGCAAGTTCAGTCTTAGACCATGTTTCATCAGTGATCAAGATCTATCGTACATGCAGACGGTAGAGCCGATCCAAGGCTTTCGCAAGTGAAGCGATTGACTGCGGCAAAATGAGAACACTGATGCTTTCTGTTCTGAAACTGATGCGGTGCTTGCGTTCCAATAATATCCCTTTTTTGCCCACAATCGATGACTAAATATGTGAATAATGACATAACCGATGGATTCCCCTGACATAACCCTTTTACGATGGATTCCCCCCACCTATCTCTTCACTTCCCTGATATTTTCCCTTCTACAGCAATCTGACCAATTCTCAGCGTCATATCGAGGAATTCATTCGGTACCCCTTCTACGTAGGCAGCAGTCGCACCCCGGCTGACCCGCACCCAGCCCAACCCATATAGGCACGCCTTGGGGAGCGAGAGGGTGGGGCGTGGTTAGTTGGGACAGTCCGGGACAGGACGGGGAAACCTGACTCTTCCGGGCCGTGAGAACCTCTCCTCTTTGACTGACCGTGTGAATCGCTCCTCTGGCCACTGGGAAGCTCATCAGTAGGCAGCTGGCGGTCACCCGGAGAAGTGCGCCAAGTTCCGGCGCCCTACCACTGGCTGAGAGCTTTGGTCACATGAATCACCCCCTTGCCGCGGTAGTTCGCGGGCAGCGGCGCTCGCTCGCCTATCAGTATGCCTGGTATTCACTCGTGCCGAACGCCAGCGGTTGACCCGCGAGTGTTTCAGGCGTAAATGTGTTTGTTGATGTGTAATAAACGTCCCCTAAGAACGGTGAATGGAGTGCGAATGGGGTGCCGCAGTCACTCTGCTACAGCTGACATCACCGGCAGCTGACTCCATTGGTGACTGGTGACGCGGTGTGGGTGCTCGGAGCAAACTTCCGTCAGCAGTCGACCGTTCCAGTACAGTCGGGCGGTGACCGGCTTGGCGGGCGGTGGAACGAGGCGACCGGTCGGCGGCGGTACCGGCGAAATCGGCAAACATTCCTCACCGCAGCGCCAAGACAGCCGGGCCGGCACCACTGCACTGGCGGCTCGGCCTCCGGCCACAGCGGGATGAGCGGCCTCGCGTAGCGCGGAAGAGGATCGGGAAATGCCAAAAAGAATTGTTTAATGGTGAAAAATACTATAGGGAAGAACCGTCAAACTAAACTCAGTCAAAAAGCTAATTGATTACGCCTCCCTACCAGATGTAATAAGCCTGGAGGATTGCCGTTATCGGTTACTGACCACAATGACTGGCTGTTTCGCTGCCTCGACCTACCGACAAACCAGTCACCGTCCTGCAAACATCCGATCAACTCCCTGCCCTGCAGGCTTCCGGCAGAGCGCCAAATGCTGCATCGCCTTTGGTAAAGACAGCTGGCGCTATAGGCAGCTTCGTTTCTCATTGGAATATGGCCCAGCGATCAGGGTTGGTCCTCTGCAAGGTGTAATACCTACTCTGTGCGGTATGCAAGAACAGTTGGAATGTGGAACCACAGACGGCCTGACCTCACAGGTGCGGTAGGCACGCCTGGTCGGGGGGGGGGCGCGGCCGGATGGCGACTTCCTGTTAAACTTCCGCCACACGGCCGCCTATCGCGAGACGCCGACGTCACGATCCTTCGGGCGTCATAGTGACGTCATGAGTTTGTGTTGGACGCTGATTGTGCGCTCCGACCAAATGAAGGTGACCGGGAGACTAGAACGTTCGGAATGTCGGTTATGTCATGTGAAGAAAAGATTGGAAAAGACAGCAAAAAAATGTTGAAAATCGACCTAAATCTATTCTTCATTATGCTGGGCAAGCATTCAAAAACGACTAAAGATCTTTTATCATTTCAAAGTTCATTAATGATAGGACATTGAATAGAATGTAGGTATGTACTCGATATCATTTGAATCCATGATAAGCAACTACCTAGCTCTATGCACTGCACAATGCGTCCTCCACGGTAGTTGAGCATACAGGCGACGACAGACAGAGCAGCGCTGACTTTTCTGCGCCTTTTAGCATCCCTGAGCTCCTAAAGTTGATCCAGTGATCGAGGATTTAACCTTCACCTTGCTGGGGGAGGGGCGTTTTCAGCCACACCATTCAGCTTTAGGTATAGGTATGTGCCATGTAATCAAAGCCAAAGCGCTTGCCACGATTTATTAGGTACCAATCAATTTAGTATGCTGCTGATTAATCCCATCGCGCTGAAACTTTGTGTATCGGTGAGCATTGGGCGTGGGCACCCACTGGCCAATGATATTGTATTTCCGGACCTGGGAGAGAAGAGAGACTTGGGACATTGGCAATAGAGGTAGGGCATACTTCTGGAAGAGCTTCGTCCGGCTTCTGAGGCAGGTCTCGGTTATAAGCGCCACCTGGCTGACGGAGGTCTAGGCAGATGGCGCTACTGAGGCTTTCCGTACAGCCAGCGACACAACATCTATGGGTGTCCTCATAAATGTCCTGTTTCAATTATGTGCTTATTTTTGCAGAGCGTTTGATGCTTAAACAGTGTTTGTGTAATTATCTCTTTTGTAAACGTTGCTGTTTTCTTGTGAACACTGACTGACGCTTGAGATCCTGTCGGAAATCATGCAGTCGTGTAACAAGTCGGTAAATCAACACAAATACATGGCAAGGTCTTGAGT